AACTGCGGCCTCGGGCCCAAGTATACGTATACATAACTGCGGCCTCAGGTCCAAAAATGCATAAAGCATTAACTGCGGCCTCAGGTCAAAAAATGCATAAAGCATTAATTGCGTCCTCAGGCCCAAAGATGCATAAAGCATAAACTGTAGCCTCAGGCCCAAAGATGCATAAAGCATTAACTGCGGTCTTAGGCCCAAATACAAGTGTTCGACATTTAGGGATTTAAAATCAGGAACTGAGAATCATACTGCAATACATGATAGTGAAATACTGAATCACACTGAGTTACATGATACTGGAATACTGGATCACACTGAGTTACATATGCCATGCCCCAACCTGGGGAGGCTTGGCTGGCACTCGGTGCCGTAATGGCCCGAGCGAACCACTCTGTAACTCATTCATTCCTTTAATAACTATCATGGACTAATATGACCACAACTCGTAATGTACAATTGTAAGTGGGCAAATGTTATATGAATGAACCATCGTTTATAAAACATGAATACATATGGGCCGTTAAGGCCTCGGGCATACTATATATAATAAGCCTGTATCTACAAAGCCTCTAAGATTATTTGACATAAAATGCGATAGGGCACCGGCCTACCCATAAGTCTGGAGCAAAACTCTGACACGATGACTTATAGACTCGGCTGCACTCCGAATGAGGTGGAGTCTTACCGATCCTTCGCTGAATGCTAACCTCGTCTACTGTGAGGGCTCGTCAAACTGATTGTCATACCTGCAGGTAGGAATTCAACATCCCCAACAAAAGGACGTTAGTACGAATAATGTATTGAGCATGTAAGGCGGAACTGAAGTATAACCGTAAGTCAANCTGACACAATGACTTATAGACTCGGCTGCACTCCGAATGAGGTGGAGTCTTACCGATCCTTCGCTGAATGCTAACCTCGTCTACTGTGAGGGCTCGTCAAACTGATTGTCATACCTGCAGGTAGGAATTCAACATCCCCAACAAAAGGACGTTAGTACGAATAATGTATTGAGCATGTAAGGCGGAACTGAAGTATAACCGTAAGTCAACATTAATCAAGGACATGGAAGAAACATGGAGTAAAGGACTCAACCTGTAAGTCTAGATAGCTCTGTAAATCATGAAATATTTATAGCATCATACATATGCGTATGAATGTCATGTCGTGCATAGGTACATATGTTCATAACATCATCAAACCTCTGAGGGCATCCCATCATATCATCTCGGCCACTGTAGGCAAAATCATCAACGTATACCAGCTAATCAGGTGGTGGTGCGTATATAACACTATAACCTTTTCCCACACACACACATATATATATATATATACATACATACATACATACATACATACATACATACATACATACATACATACATACATACATACATACATATATACGCATATATAACGCCGTTTGAGTCGTGGATAAATGCACATATATAAATGAATGCAATGCATGAAAAGTATACAAATAAAATTTTTCGGAGGATCATAAGACCATTATGCTTTTAATTAATATCAGATGACCTGTGCATAATCATTTGCAGAAGCAATTGTCATTATTAAACATAGTAGATTAAGTATGGATGCAGGGAGCAAGGAGTATGCCAAGAAGATATGTAGATTGTGCGATATGTTTTATAAACTTCTACAACTGCAGGCTTAATCAATTTTACAAGTATGTTGTGTATCTTCCAAAATAGAATAAACTAATACACTTAACAATGTCTAGAGATCCAATGAATGAGCTATAATTGTTACAAGAAAATAGAAGAATGAATATTCATTTATGCCTTTTTGCTCAGATATGGCAAGATAAAACAGTGATAGAACTAAGGTTTCCTCCCTAAATGGGGATAAAAAATATAGACACCCCTACTATTTCTAGGAATATAATTATTTATGAAAGTTACGTATTTTGCTCGTTTCATTTGTATTATTTGTATCATGCCAAAAAGAAAGAAGGGATAGCCTTAATATACCTGGAGTAGGAAAAAATCCGTATGATATTCTTGAGAAAGATTACACTTGCTTTCGGTGTTACCTATAAGCTTAATTCTTTGATGAACTTTAATTTATACGGCAGATATTCACATAGGTTCTAAGACTTCAAAGCTTATCCATGTCCTTAGCTTCAGTTGTATAATCAACTGAAAATAAGGTAGAGTCATAGGAGTAGTAATCAATAGTCTGTTATAAATATATTATATTATGGATGTTCATTTAGTACTCCGTTGTAAATAAGCTTCTTGAAGAAGCTTATCTATATGGGACTCCACCGTAAATATGTTTATCTATTTAGTACTCTATTGGAAATAAGCTTCCTGAAGAAGCTTATCACTTCGGTACCCGATTATGGATAATATTACCCCCGATAGAAGATTATCCATACCGGGTATAATAAGCTTATCCTTTCAGTACCCAGTTATGGATAAACATTACCCCCGGTAGAAGATTATCCATATCGGGTATAATAAGCTTATCCTTTCAGTACTCCGTTATGGATAAATATTGCTCTCAGTAGAAGATTATCCATATATGGTATAGTAGCAGCTTACACAACAACTTCCTTTCTTCTCTAAATAGAAGAGATTTCAATTCATTATGTACATCAGTTTGAATTCGAATAATATAACAGTTTCTCTCTATACTTGTCTTTACTTTACAGTCTTTATTTTATAACACGTTATCAGCACGAGACTCTGACATCTCGAGCAAATACTTTGAAAGTATTAGAGGTAAGAACTTTCTTTTCCTAAATAATGTCAAATCTTTCTAAACTTGAATTTGTAGCCCTGGATATATCGGGCTAAAGCTACATGTATTGGGTGCTTGATGCTGAAATTCATCTTGATGCGATGGGTTTGGCAGACACCATCAAGGATACAAATCAGGCATCAAACCAAGACCGTGCCAGAGCAATGATATTCCTACGCCATCACCTTGATGAGGGCCTGAAAATGGAACATCTCACTATTAAAGATCCAGTCATACTGTGGAATAATTTGAAAGATAGATATGACCACCTGAAGATGGTCGTTCTTCCACAGGCACGTTATGATTGGACT